ACCAAGGTGAGAATGCACTAGCATAATTGTAATCAAGACATGAGTAGGATATTCTAGGACGGTTTCCAAATCTTGACGAAATTCCTTCTCGTCTTCTTGTGTGGGCCAATCATGATGATAGTGCCATGCAAGATGACCTTAGAAGCGATAGTGGGCATTCCACTACACGAGCTGACGATCATAGTCTTGATGAGGTATGTGATCGTTCCTGAGGTTTCCAACATCTCTTTTGTTATCTGCTTATACCGCCTGCTATTTTCTTCTCTATGTTGCTCAATATTTTTGTGCGAATCTCTCTTCTTGCTTGATAATAAGTACGTGCCATCATTTAAAAGTAGTCTTCATCTCTTGTGTTTTGACATTAGTGTTCTGCATTCACATCAGATGGCGAGAAATGCATTGAAGATGTTATTTTGAACAGTGTTTCGGTTACAATCAGATTGCTGAATTCGTATGCTGGCTAGGTATCCTTTCATATTGGAAACAAACTGCACACTTTTTTCATGACCTAGTGGGATGTATTGGCACCTCCTAATGGCTTAGTGGGGAAATTTCCATGGATGGAGAATGATGAGATTCCAACTTGTTGCTTTTCAATGCATTTCTCTCTTACAAAGTTTTGTTGGTCCATTTTTCTTAGCTTTTTTTGCCCTTGTTGATTGACTTTGATCACTCTCACCATTGCTTTCCCCAAATAGACTCGAGATCGTGGCGCTTCCTCGAATGGCCCAACTCCCGCCAAGAAGCGAAAAGTGAAGGACGATGAAGAGGTACATTCTGATCATACGGACGTGTAACTCAGTAATGGATCGTAATCGTCAACGAGTATCGCCAAATTTGTAAAGACATTAAAATATTGAAACTAATGCTTATCTGTGTTAGGCCCTTTCTAATGTAGCTCCAGATGCATGGATTGTATCCGGCAGTTAGTTGATTCGAAATTTTTCATAGAGCCTCAACTTTAGCCATATGACGTATCTTATACTTTTGCTAGTCAACGATTCGTAAACTGGAAGGTCTGTGATCTAGATCGACTAGCTCCCTACATCGGGTAGTTGCATGTCAGAAGCTCGCCAACACGTGCCCTGATTAGATGGACGTAGTTTTGCGTGTTCTGTTATTGCCACCTAATCTCATGGTTTTTGTATTTCACAGCTTTTTTCCCAGCTCAGCCTCTATCGCTATCATCTCCGTTTTGTTACCTCTTCGATTGATTCAATTTTTATGTTTTACTTATTGTAAATTCTTATCGCCGTTTCTTTCAAAGAATAAGGTTCTGCCAAATTGTTTGCTTGAATAAATTGCTTATTTGCATTTTTTAATAGTTGTTAGTCTATATCATCGCTGATGTGCGATTGGCTTTTCTGAAGCGGTGTTTCGTTTTTACCTCTTGCCGGAGTCTCAATTTCGAGCTTTCAGCTTGAACCGTCAACTTCTCGTGGTTACTCCCAAATGTCCAGTGCTACACAAATTCCTCCCCCAGCAAGAGATCTTTTGACGGGTGTTCAATTCCAAGATTACGATGGCGACTGGAGGCGATCTTTTCCTGTAATTTATAGAATAGAGGGGATATCTATTCAAGCGTTGACTGATTTCTTCTTCCTAGGAATGGATGGAAATGATTGAAAGAGATTTATTGTCCGCACAAACCAGCCCACGTCAACGACGGAATCGCAGCGACTTGTATCAATCACAGCTTCCGGAGAACATGAGAAGGGTAGCTCTTACTTAACTCTTTGTTCGTAATTCAATTGAAGACCTTCAATTTCATTTTACAGCAAGTTGTGCCTGAAAACTACACAGAGGAAGATGTGGTATCATCAGTTCTGCACGAGTCACTCAGCAGTAC